ATCACAAAAAGAGCTGGTGGAGTGGCTCAAGCTGTGAGAGCACCTGCCTATCAAGAGTGACGCCCTGAGTTTAAATGTCAGTGCTGCCAAAAAAACAAAACAAAACAAAATGTTCTTTGAAAATCAGAATATTTGTAAAAGAACATCTTTATCCATCTCCCTCTTTCCACACGGCCACTGTACATTTAAATCTCCCCTATCCCATTTTAGGGTCTAATCAGTTTTGCGACCTCCAAGAAGGTCATCAATTTAGGCATTATCAATTGGTGTTAAAATCATTTGGAGGTCTTTATCAGCAAGGAAATGGACGAAATTGTGGCGTGTCACAAAATGTGATAAGACAATACTGGAGAAAAACTTGTTACACATGCAAGATGGCTGTTTTTCACAGACACTGAGTGGAAGAGATCATAGTGTTCATTTACATTTATATGAAATAGCAGAGCAGGCAAAAGCAGACATCTGTGGACTGGGGACGTGACTCAAGTGGTAGAGTGTCTGCCTACTGAGGGTGAGGCCCTGAGTTCAACCTCCAGTACTGCCATTGGTGACTTTTGAGTCACAGATGATTTTGGAGTAGAGGTGCTTTTGAAATAGCAGTAGAAGTTTCCTTGGTGTGGGGGCTATTATCTGGGAGGGAGCATAGCGGGGGGTCATCTGGGGGCTAGGAATGTTCTCTACTTTGTCTTGGGCTTGGTCACATGGCTGGATAAACACGAAAAAAATTTTAGCACAGGGCCAGGAATGTAGCTCAGTGATAGAGCGCTTGCTCAATGGTAGCGTGTGTAAGGCCCTGGGTTTGAACCTCAGCATTGAAAACTTTTTTTTCAGCACTAGGGCTTTGAGCTCAGAGCCTCACACTTGCTAGGCAGGAACTCTTACCACTTGAGTCAGCTCTTTTTGTGATGGGTTTTTTTGAGATAGGGTCTTTGGAACTATTTGCCCGGGGCTGGCTTTGAACCTCAATCCTCCTGATCTCTGCCTCCTGAGTAGCTGGGATTACAGGCGTGAGCCACTGGCACCTGACAACTTTTTATTGGTTGCGATGGAGGTCCCACTCTTTGCAGGAGCTGGTCTTGAACCTCGATCCTCCTGATCTCCATTTTTGTAGTAGCTAGGATTAGAGGTGTGAGTCATCCCTCAGGAACTTACACTTGTTTATTTTTTGATGCAATTTATCTGAGAGACACTTCCATATTTGCTTCTTAAGGCCATCAATAACCTCCTTGTTGTCAGATCCAAGGCCACCATCAGTCCTGCCTTTGTTCCACCTGACTGCCTATTTTTCCTAGAAATGGTACTTTCAAGTGGCTTCCTGATCTATTTGCCTTCCTGGTTTTCCTCCTATTTCCTCATCTTTTGTTGGCCCCACCCCTGCTCCTCCCTGACCTCTGCACATTGGCAAGCCCCTCAGCTCCATCCTTGACCTTTCTTCTACCTATCCGCACGCCCTTGGTGATCTCATGCAGTCTTGTGGCTCTAAGGAACATCTCAGCTCAGACTACTCCAGATTTTTATCTCCAGCCTGAGTCACAGTCCTGAACTCCAGCCTTTTTGGCACAATTGCTTACTTGATGTCTTAACCTCAGTACAAAACAGAACTTCTGACTTGAGCCCACAGACCGGTAGCTCGTTCCGCTTCCCTGTTTCAACTGTTGACAACTTTTTCCAGGTTCACAGGTCAGGAACCTCACAGAAGCATGACTTCTCTTTCGTTTGCTTTGCTATGTGCCATCAATAGCAAATGACACTCACTGTTCCTTCGGGCTCTTTGTGAAGTACAACCCTCAGCACCTTCTACCATCTTGGCTGGCTTACTGCAAGGGCCCCCTTCTGGTCTCTCTCACCCAACCAGGGATTCTCCCCAACCATGGATTGCTCTTTAACCACACAGCAGTGGGTGGCACTGCTCAAACCAGACAATCTCCTCCAAGGGATTTCCATGCCACTTAGAGGATGAAGCCCATGATCCTGCGTCACCTGGCATTCTCTCTCTGTGACCTCCCTCCTACCACTCCTCCTTTGCTTGTTCTGTCCCAGCCAGTCTGGCCTCCTTCTTGTCCCTCATCAACACCAGGTCCAAGACCACTTCAGGATATTTGGTGGTCCCCTCCCTTACCCAGATATCTGCCTGACTCGCTTATTTATCCAGGTCACATTTTTGATCTGAAGTCACCTCCCCAGGGCATCTACTTCAACTATCTGTTAAAATCTTTACCATAATCCCTCAAAGAGCCTGGAGAGGAAAGTGACTTGCCTAAGCTGAGGTGAGCTGAACCAGGACCCCTGAGCCAGGTCTTTCTGAAGCTAGACTCCTCTTCCTATACCACTGAGAGACCCTATTGCACTTACCCTGCCCTGTCCCTGCCACAGCCCCATAATGTTTTAGATGGCCTGGCCACTGCTCTTTCAGATTCTGAAGTGCTCTTGTGGGCAGGGCTTCTCTCCTGAGCTAAGATGGCGAGAAGCCCTGGGGAGTCAGGGGTCTGCAAGCCCATATAGCAAGTGAGTGGTCCTGCTGGGAAGTGGAGCTACCTGGATGGTCCTGGGCACTTGGAAGTCCCGTTGGGGACATACCTCACCTGGTCTTCTGCACTTCAGAAGACCAGAAGTAAGATGGCTGGGATAGGGAGGAGGTTGTCATGGGGGAAGAAAGCAGGTAATAGGCCTTCTGTGAGCCTGAGGATTCCCAGTGCCTGGTACATGCTTGACCCTTAAGACCAGTTCTCTGCTGGCATCTTAAATTTGCTTAGCAAGGGACATTTTGTGCCCACTTCACAGATGAGGGTAACAGAGGGACTTCATCCAGCTTTTGGTTAGGTGATCATACGCACATACAGGCACGCACCATGTCCGGTGTCCTTCCTGCATTCCTCTGGGTCACTGTCAGGCCCCACCTCACTGCTCATTCCATACTCACCTAGGCACTGTAGTCTTTCCTCTTCACCCCGTGTGTTAGGGTGAACAAAAGGGAAACCATGTTAGGATCAGACCCCCACCCTTGCAGGAAGCTTACTGAAAGGACCACACCTAGTCTCAAGGGAATGACAAATTCTCGCCTTGCCAAGGGTTGGAAATGGCTGAGCATCCCTAGCTGCCCCTAGCACTCCTCTAGCTGTCCCTAGCAATTGTTGATCTCGGATAAAAATCTCCCTGCTCTGCTAAACCACTCTTTCAGACCCTCCCCTATATCTACTCCAAGTCTGTGAGTGGGCTGTGAAATTCTGGCTCTGGCTGGGAACGCCCCTCTGCAGGGCTTCTTTTCACAATAAACCCTGTGCTGGTGTTTGAGCTGTCTTCCTGCTTATCCATTCTGTATCTCTTTCAGTCTAACACCATGGGCCTTTGTTCTCTTCACCTGGACTGCCTTCCCCTGCCCTTTACAACACAATGCCATAGCCTCCAATCCTTTGGCAAAGCCGAACGGGTTGCCTTGTCCCTTCCCATTTTCCATATAGCTCTCATCACTATTTCCAATCAATGGACTTTAAGCCACTCTGCTAGCCCTTTTTTTTTTGATGGGTTTTTTTGAGATAGGGTCTTGTGAACTATTTGGCTGGGCTGGCTTTGAACTGAGATTCTCCTGATCTCTGTGCTTCCTGAGTAGCTAGGATTACAGGCATAAGCCACACGTGCCAGCCAGAAGCAGTCTTTCTAAGGCACAGAGCTAACCCTTGATGTTGTCATCCCTTCTCTTTAGGCACCTATGACTTGGGATGAAAAAAACCCTTCCTCACTGGCCCATTGGGGAGCCCTGTCTCTAACTTACCTTTTCCACTTCCCACCCATCCTTCTTCTCCCATTAAAAAAAATAAAAAAGACACTATTTAAAGACGAAAAGGAAGACTATTAAAGAAGCAGATTACTTTGGGTTGGGGGGTGCAGTAGGGGACTGAGCTCCACTCTGTCAGGGGAAAAGTGAGAATTTGAAGCCAAGGAGCAGAGTCAGGGGACTGAGGATGGACAACCACTAAGCAGAAACCTCAGGGCTCTCAGAACTTTGCTCAATGGACAGGATTCTTACTGTAGGCAGGCCAGGGTGATCAGATACCAGCATGGCAAGCTTTCCTGCCTTAGCAGGATTCTCGCTAAAACTGGGCTAAGGGGGCCAAGGACAGAGCCCAAGGTCAGGGCTTAGGCAGAAGAGGATTCAGAGGATCCTGACTCAAGTTTGGTCAAGGACAGACAGTCTTTGTCATTCTCTAACAACAGGGTTTTCACTTACCTCCTTCTCAATTCAATCTCTTCTTTTTTTTTCAGGTTCTCAAAAATCTTATTTCCCAAGGCCAGCTTAAATGTGTCTTTCAAAACTTTCTTGAGCCCTCCATGGGAACTCATTTTTCCTGCCAGAGCCTGGGAGAAACATCGGTTTCTCCCTCCAGGGAAGGAATGCTCGGTACTTTAGTGAATCCAAGTGTGAAGCTGGAGCACCTCATCGGGCAAAGGAAAGGGTCATCTCTTCCAGAGATGCCGTGCTCACCCTTGCTGCCTCGCATCCTGGTCCCTTCCCTCCCTCGGGTCTACTCCCTTCTCCCTTCATAGAAGGGGACGCAAAATGTAAGTTGGTACTAAACGTCTCAAGCCTGGGCCTGGGTCGGCTTCCTTGAGCAATAAGAGGCGGTATCATTGAACATCTCGGTCCCCCACTGGGGTTGCAATAGATTGCCTTGAAGGTGGAGGGTTCAATCCTGCTGGGGTACAGAAGTACTCCCGAGGAATGCAGTTCAATGGCTTTGGCCACCTCTAAAGGACAGGCACAAAGTGCTCACACCACAACTCCCTCACCTTGCCCATTTAGCAAGTCAAACCGCTCGGCAAGGGCCGTCCTCAACGACATCCCACTCCCTCTTCGGGTGCCACAAACAAGCACCCAACTACCAGGGCAGCGCGGCGCCTTTAAGAGGCGGTGGCGATGCTGCCCCCTGGCGGCCGCCCGCGTTGGCTCGGGCCGGCCGGCGGGCTCCCGCGGTGGCCGGCGGGGCAGCACCGGGCTCGGCGTGTGCGCGGGCGTCGTCGCCGGCTTCACGACGGGCTGCGCGCGAGAGGACACGGCCGGGGAGGAAGCGGCTGCGGGTGAGGATCGCAGCGGGGAGGGGAGGGGCGGCCGCGTGCGTCCCACGGGGTCCCAGCGCGCCCGGCTCGGAGGGTGGGCGGGCATGGGGAGAGGGGTTCGGTGCGTGGCCTCCGCGTCCCCCTCCGCCACCGCCGCCGCGGCGGGAGGGCGTGCTGCTCGGGCCTGCGACAGGGGAGGGGGACCGGGACGGGGACAGGGACGGGGACGGGGAGGCGTCCGCGGAGGTCTGGGCCGCAGCCTGCGGTCCTGCCGGGGCGGGCGGGCGGGATGGCGATCCGCGGTGGCGGCGCGGCGGCGGCGGCGGTGGCGGGTCCCACCCCGCGCGGCCCAGCCAGTGGCGCGCCACGCTGAGCCCTCCTCCCCCGGCCGCCGGCCCCGCCCCGCCCCGCCCCGCCCCGGCCGCCCGCCCGCCCGCCCCGGCAAGACCGCGCGCCGGAGCCCGCTCCGCGTCCCCGCCGCCGGAGGAGGTGCCCGCACGCTCGCGGCGCGCGCCGGCCCCACACTCGGCCTGTGGGCGATTTCCTCCGGACCCAGGCTCCCCGCCCGAGGAGGAAGATGCAGACCTTTCTGAAAGGGAAGAGAGTTGGCTACTGGCTGAGCGAGAAGAAAATCAAGAAGCTCAATTTCCAGGCCTTCGCCGAGCTGTGCAGGTAAGGAGCGACGCGGCTCCGGCGCCCCGGGGACCCCCAACCCTTCCCCCCCCCCGGCTCCTCTCAGCGGTCGCTGGGGGAGGCGAGAACGAAACGGGAAGGAGCGGGGCGCGGGGAGGCTGCTTCCGAGCAGCCAGGTGGCCGTGGGGCCGCGGGGCTGTGTCCGAGCAAAGCGGTGGCCAGTGTAGGCGATGGGCTCGGCTCTCAGGTGCACTGTGACCCGGCCCCGAGGCCCCCGGCCGCCCAGGGTGCGGTGGGAGCGCTGCTGGAGGGTGGCGGTGGGACTTGGGGAATTGGGGAGTCCACGCTGCTTGCCAGGGGCTTGGGGGTACTTTTGGACAGGCGTGTTTTTCTCCCTTCCCCTGAATGGAGAATGGTACTAGCGTTGATGGGGCAACCTACTACGTGCCCCGCCTATGCTGGGCTCCTGAAGCTGTCATTGCATATCGCCCGTTAAGCCCAACTGAGGCGAGTAGCAATACTTGGCTTGTGTGTGTTGATTTGCTGTCTCATTAAGGTCTCAAGCAGCTTTGCAAATTGGCCAGGGTGGTGATTCAGGGCCACGTGTCTGAGAAGGGGTACCCTGCCTGGGGGGGGGGTGTCCCACCGGTAGGGAGTGCCCATTGCATAGAGAGTGCTGGGTAAATGCATGTAGGGTAAAATGGTCTGCTATCTGGTCTGGGCGTCCCCTTCCCACCGTGCTGGTCTTTAGTGGTGGACACTGAGGGCTTTGATAGATTTCATTCTTAATAAATTACAGAAGTGCTGAGTTTTGGGTTAGTTATGCCTTGCCTTGCTCCACAACTGTGGCTTTGCCTCTGAAAAGCTCTTCAGTATGTCCCCTTCTCAATGAAAGCCTAAGAGAATGGGCTCCTGAAGCCTACTGCAAACTCCAGGTGGAAAGAAACCTTTTGTTATGCGGTGCCTCCACTTGCATTTTTATCCCCAAATCTTGGAGAACTGGACGCTTGGGTTTTTTTTTTTTGTTTGTTTGTTTGTTTTTTACCCCTAGTGCACAGGTTGTGTGGCATTCTGAGCTGGCACTGGCAGGCAGGCCTGGCAAGAACCTTGGTGCCCCTCAAAGCCATCCAAGGGCCTACTGAGTCTCTGCCCCATGCAAACTCCACAAGGCATTCTTCTTCCGCAGCTGTAGGATGTGGCTTGTCTACAGGAGCCCTTGGTTCCACCACCCCTTGATCCCCGTGGGGATTTGGCTGCTCACTCCCAGATCTGCTTCTTAGGAAAAAGCAGGCTTTTCGTGGTGGGCAGGGCGTGCTGTGTGGCTTGGAATTCACAAGGAAATCAGGAGGGACTCACAGACAGAGCTTTGAGAAACATAGGGCTTTGGAACATTAAAAAAAGACACTTGAGCATTATACTGCAGATATACACACTTGTGGAAAGGGCGCCCTAGATGGTGAAGAAATTTGGAGAAGCCCTTTTGGCATGTTCTGGAAGTCCATCCAGTTCTGATGTGAGGCGCTGGAGCTCCCCCTGCTGTCATATAAGACTTGGGAAACCCCAGTTAATCCCTTGCACCTTTTTTTTTTTTTTTTTTTAAATACTGATAGCTGTGTGTATTTGTGTTACCCAGTGTTTGCAGCCCAAGCTTGAGGCTTGTCTTCAGCTTGCTGTGTTTTCTTCTGTAATTAGCAGATTCTAGCCAAACAGTCCTAGCTGAGATTCAGGGTTGGCTCCTTATGCCGACCTGCAGGTCATCTTGCCCTTCTTGTGGAGTTCCCTGCCTATAAAGGAGTGGGCTAGGGGCTCAGGGCACTCCATGGTGTTAACCTGGTCTAGGGGAAGTCAGGGGTATTAATTTTCTCTGGAAGGGTTGTTGAGTTCAAGCTCCATTCGCCTCCCTTTGCCCAAATACTGGCTTTAAAGTGAAGGCGGGAGGCCTCTGGGCCGTTCTAGAACCTAGGAAGCCCACTTTGTGTTTTCATTGGCAAAGTTTTACATGTTTTGTTGCTTAAGCTTAAGAAGGAAAAGAAAATACCAAAAAGAGTTTTTCAGTTGTTTATTACTTCCAGGGCACTGCCCCCTGGTGGCCACATTTCCCTACTGGCCGCAAAACACTCCAACTGTTGAGATGGTGTCCTGAGCCTTTGCTGTGTTTTGTTTAGTGGCCTTAGAGACACTGTAAATGGTCATCAGCATGCTTTTGACACTCAGAAGCTGGTGGTGCAGCGTTCTGATTTGAGGAATGGTGAACTGTCTGTGAATTCCCTAGTGAAAAGGGCAGGGGTGCTGGGAAATGACCTGAGCTCTGCTCCGAGTGTTGGGAGGCAGTGTCAGTACGAGAGAATTGCTTGACTGCACTGGGATGGGGCGTTCAGTTGAACGGCGGGCCTTGTGAAGGTCTTCTCTCAGCCAGAAAGAGATCGTCTCATCCAGCCTCATTTTTCAGAGAGAGAGTGAGACGGGGTAGACCTCCTCATACTTCTGCTCTTCCTCTAACTCCTGCGATGAGTCTACCTGGTGACTTTGAGATTTGCTCAGAGATCAAAATCTGTCTCCAGGCAGAAGGCTGGAGACACAGATAACAGAAGGCTCCCTCCTTTTCATCCCTGGGGTCCAGCTGCTTCTACTTTGTCCCCAGGGGCACTTTCCTTGAAAGGCTAAACTGTGCCCTCTGCAAGTATTACCAGGCCCTTTTCTCTGAGAGAGCAGTGCTCATTGATGGCATCAGTAAGTGGTTGGAGCCAAGTATCTTGTACCTTAGGTAGGTGCAAGAAACAATGCTTTTTAAATGTGTGTCTGCTAGGATGGGGCCTCTGGCCAGCCAGCAGATGGGCTTTTGAGTCAGCTTGTTTTTAGTGGTACTGTTTGTTCCTATTCCTCTGTGTCTTCCCCTCTCAGCAGGGACTCAGCTCTGGTTAAGTTCATTTACCCCTCCCACCTGCTTTCTTGTTCCTAACCTGGGAGTGACTTTATGGCTCCTCGTTCCTCTCTGTGGCTTTTTCACAATGCCCAGAAGGGGAGTGGAGAAGTAAAGCATGGGTTAGAAATATTGGGTGATTTAGTGTGATTTTGTATTTGTTTTGTTCTCTTCAGTGCCCTGTTGGGGAATAATGGACAGCCCAGGTTCTCCCTGTTCATATTTTGTGCCTCTCCTCCAGCTCCTTTTCTCTTTACTGTTCTTCATTGCAGGGAGATCTACGTGACAGGTGGTGGTAAAAGAGGCACATGGCTTCGTGAAGCCCTTTGGTATAAGCTGGGTGAATGTCGTCCATTTTTACTGTAATTTTTAATGAGGTTCTTGCATGTACCTCATCTCACGTAACCTTGTAGCAGCCAGGGATGGAGGGATGGGGAGACTGAGGCTTGGATACTATAAGGGGCTGTACAGTCAGTGAGCTTAGGCCGAGGCCTCTCCACCTGAGAACACAGCCTCCTTGTTTGTAAAGTGTCTCTTCCTTGCCATGTTAGGCCTGGGCTTCCTGGAGTCTCTCGAATCAGGAGATTGTCTGGGAGGTTCTTGTCTTAGAGAAACTTGGAGGCCATCTTGGCCAACTTGGCTTGTGGGAAATTTATTCATTGAGTGGTCTCAGACCACCTTATTGCTGTGTTCTTTCCCACTGGGCAGCCATTTATATGTTCCCAGAGGGATGGAGGAATTCGTTGATGCTCACATTTACTAAGCACTTTATAGAATCCAGGCCTGGTGTTAGGTCATTCGCTGGGGTACAGTAAGGGAGCCCCTGCCCTCATGGGGCTGAGAGTTTCATGTCAACGATAAACTGGCCTGGAGGCATGCCAGGGAGAGTAGAGTGCTGCTGGGCCTCTCCCTGCTCCTCGGGCTCTACATTTCTTCTTTTTTTTTTTTTTTGAGACAGTTTCACTACGTAGCCCAGGCTGGCCTCAAACTTGAGATCCTCCTGCCTCAGCTTCCTGAGTCCTGGAATTACAAGATGTGCCCTGCCATATCCAGCAACTTTCTCTCTCTGTCTCTCTCTTTTTGGCTGCGCTGCAGATGGAACCCAAGGCCTGGTGTACACTAGGCAAGTGCTCTACTTCTGAGCTACACCTCCAGCCCCATTTCTTTAAAATGGGGCCATTTTGAGGTTGCTTTTTTTCTGAAATAGCTTCGCATTTTAGGCTGAAATTCTGAGATTTACGGGAGAAGGAAGGAGGCTCTTTACCAGGATTGAGTGATACCAGCCTGTGTGGACTTTTTGTGTGTTTTAATGGCTGGATTTGCCACAATTTCTGAAGTGTGGAAGAGGGAGGAGTTAAAACTTAGGCTTGCTTTGTGCTAGCACATGGGAAAAATCCATAGCTCAGCCTTGCAAATAAACCCTTTCTTCTAGCACATAGATGCAGTCTGGACCTGAAGTGGGGGCAGACGTCAGTCTGGTCACGGGTTGTCTTTAATGAGGCGGCCTAGGTTTTAGGCCTGGTTCTGCAGCTGACCACACATGTGACCCCCATGTGACCTTTGTAGATGTAGTGTTGTTGATTTTGGCATTTTGCTAGTGAGGTCTGTGATGTGTTTAGTGTTTATGAACCTGAACCTCAGGTTGGTGGGTTTGGCCAAGGAGAGGCCCACCTTGCCTGGAGGTTTTATTCTCAACACATGGCCCATCTGGATCTTGCAGCCCCCTGCCTCCTGGAGAGCGTTATCCTCACCTATTTTCTGGGTGGGAAGCTGAGAAAATTATATGACTGCAAGGCAAGGCATTTTTTAAGTTTGATCATTGAGAAGAGTTTCCTGAAAATGCCAGGTCTCTGTTGGTAATCATATTATCACTGTTAGAAGCTAACATTTCTTGTTTTCTCTCTTTTTCTGAAATTAATTAATTAATTAACTAACTTTTGTGGGACTGGGGTTTGAACTCAGGGCTTCATGCTTGTAAAGCAGGTACTCTACAACTTGAGCCACACCTCTAATCCATGCTTTGGAGGTGGGATCTTGCAAATTATTTGCCTGGACTGGCCTCAAAATGTGATCCTCCTGATCTCAGCCTCCCAAGTAGCTAGGATTATAGTGGTGAATA